ATGCAGTTTTCTATGTCATTTTATTATATAATAATTTTTCTTGAGGATTTTTTCGATCATCGAAACTCTGCTTAAGGTCACTTGAGCTTTTTCAGTGTGGATAATTGTAAGTTTTTGGGATTTTTGAGAAAAGTCCCGTACGCGGTTTATAATAACCACAAAAATATGTCAATATTTTTTTAAAAACAAAAATTATCACGCTATGCCAGTAACTTTTGGACAGCAATTTTTATTCTTCATGGATCTAAGTTACATATATCACTAAAAGTTTGCAATAATTATTTTGTTTTTATATTAAAAATTTATCATATTGTAAGTATGTATACCGGAGCTGTCGCCTTCAATATGCATCCCACACATACATACATACACGCATTTAAACCAACATTATCACAAACTACTACTACCGCATGCACTTGAACCTGCAGCTGCTCATGCGCTTTAATCAAACATGTTTCATGCAAACCCATTACAATACGACGATATGTAAATAAGTGTGCACATATGTATGTGTGTGTCTGTTAGAATGCCAACAACAATTTTTATCTACAACAACCTATAATCAAACAGCCAGCTGATTTCTGTCTTGTAAAGCTGAGTTTGGTTAGCCTGAATCTCTTGGTATGTGTGTGTGTTTCTTCAAGACCGGAAGTAGTGCCGCACTCTCCACTTGGCTATTCATCCAGTTTTTTGCTGTTGCTGCTGCAACTACGTAGACATAACAGCGCTCTTACTCTGCTTACTTCCTTTCTACGGTCGAAGACTTTTTCTCATCCTGGCTTAGTATATCGTTTTGGTTTGGATGCGTGTGTGTCCCCTTCAGCGGCTTGAGAGACCGGATGTGTTCTTAATATTCATCCCGTACATATTATGCATATCCGTATCGGTTGCTGCCGGTTTTAGCTTACACATTGAGCTAAGCGGGTATATATGTATCTGTATACATATGCATGTACTTATGTATGTGTATAGATACATATTTACCTTTAAAATATGATATATTGTATGCTTGTATGTTACCCGCTTGTCTTATATGAGACAAGATTCTGATTTTCACCAAGCCGTGTCTGCCCTAAATAATGGCCCCCCTGCTTTTGCGTGCACATGAGATCCTATGTTTGTATGCATGAGTATGCACTGCTCATATGCTTGGCTGAGCCCGTGTCTCAATTGTATTTCGTGTACTTTGTACTTTGCTTTTAGCCGTTGTTGGTGTTGAATTTCAGTTTTAAGCGTGTCTAAGTCCCGGTTTAATGCCCCCTTAATTTTTTTACTTCAGCACAACTTATTAACTGTATATGTATGTATGTATATGTATCTGTGCGTTTAACTACCCTCTAGATGTTACAAATATTGCACATTGCAGTTTTTTGTTTTTCTTACCTCAAAAATTGATTTAGCCAGTATCTTTTACGGGTTTAAATAGATCTTAAGGTATTTATACTTTTTTGTAAATAAATTTATATTTTCTAAAATTAAATATGTGTATGCTATGCACATACAAATATATACATATATAAATATGCATGCATAGGTAAGAATTGTATGTATGTACATGTCTATATATTAATGCACATGTGTATTTAGTTCTCAGTTTCCTTTTGTTTCGATCTCCTTACAACTTTGCATTGTGTATCCACATGTGTTTGTATGCACGTGTGCGTGTATTTTTGGAAATTTGAACATCTGCCGTTTTCATTTGCCTTTACTTAGCATTTCGTCTTTCCCTTTATGTACATTTACTCGCAGTTGCATTGTGAATTTACCTTCATTTGGGATTTTACGTTAACTTTTCAACCCCCGAAAAATTGCTCTGCACTCACACCACCTCATTTTATTTGTTTAGCGTCGCCATAAGGGCGCTATAGCAAAAGTTATACTTCATTTTAATGGGACTCTTTTAGTTCCTGTGGCGCATAAAATGCATTTTTTCTGCTCTCTCTTGGTTTGAGGGTTTGTGCTACTTTTCTCACAATTAAAGGGATGCAGAAATCACCTTTCTCTATTTTTTTGCCACTCAATTGAAAAACACTCTGTGTTCTGAGTGTTCGCACTTTTGCACTCAAGTATTTATTTTTTAGCATTAACTAATATTTCACTCAATAACTTCGCTTATCTGCATGTGAGTGCAATTTAATAGAAATGAGTGTTTTAAAAGTGATTGAATTCAATTGAGCGTATGTGAGAGCATTTAAGACGCGCTTGAAATTGTTTGTGTATAAAAAAAATAATATTTATTTATAAGAAATTGAATGTCTATAGCATAACTGGACTCCATTTTATTAGTACTACGAATAAGTAGAGTTATTCTGTAGAGTTTTTTGCAAGACGGCGTTATATTGTATTCTAAATTATAGTTTAGATCCCGATTTTTAAATTACAACAAAATTTTTTACAAGTTGTACATAGATTTTATGTAGAACTCAAAGACCCAGGTTAACTTGTATCAACTACTAAAAAATATTTTTCCATAAACGTCGCTTTAAACTCAACCTCATGCCGATAATACATTATTTTCGCAAAGTGCAAGGACAACACATCTCTAAACTGAAAAAAATAGAAAAAAATTAATTAATAGTAAAATGAATTAAATCAATTATATTTATAAAATATCTACTATTTTTCATCAAAGCACATTCCAATAAAACCACTACATGCATTATTCATTAAATAAATAACTATGAGATTTGCCCGACAAGACAATCAAAGTTATCTTTTCTTTAAATTAAACTATAAGTGGCAATTCATTGATATATTTACATGCTTTAATATATTTATACATATGCGTGTGTTACATATATACACATTGGTTAATGAAACCTTTAGGCCTACAGTTATCGCAAAATTATTAGATTATCAAAATTGGTCGATTAAAAATAGAATCTGACGAGAGCACGAATATCAAAAGAGCAAAAGAAAGCCACAGTAAACAAATGTTGCCAAACTATGCTTTTGTAAAGAAATGTTTATCTTATCACTTATCTTTGCGGTTACATTTCAGCAAGGAAAATTTATTAAAAACGTTTGGTACCAAAGTTGCTGTATTCAAAAAAGTGCAAAAGAAAACAACAAGCAAAGTGCGACAACAGCACGCCAAACAAATAACGATTGTGGATAAACACAACAGTGACAGTTGTTTCCTTTGTGGCTTAAAGGCAAAAAAGTTTGCAAAGTCTGTTGTACATACATATGTATATACAATATCTGTGGTTGGTGTAGAAGGCATACACACACAAACATATGTTTAAGAACATACATAGGTAGCTGCTTTAAGGACAATTAAGCAAAGTTTTGAAGTTTGCGCAAAAGCAATTGACATACATTTTCTTCATAAATATGTATGTAGACGCTTACCAAAGGGACCGAATAGGCCAGCACATGTCATTAATTATTTTGCGAATTATTTTAAGCGAAAATAGAAGTATTCCGCTGCAAACAGCTCAACATAACCTAACTTATGTTATACAAACACACATACATACCCATATTTATAAGTGTATTTATAAAGTTGTAGCTGCGCAAAGAAATGCTGGAGAAGGGCGCATATAATTAATTTGCGAATGTGCCAAGAAAAGCCGAAGCAGTTGCTGCAACGGAATGTTAAAAAATAAGCATAAAAGTAAAAATTGCAAGCCACAGCACCCAGCAGCACTTGCGTTCGACAGACGGTCAGGCGGTTAATGCTTCGACTCACCTACTGTCAAACGGCTGCTGCTGCCTGCCTGCAAAAGAGCAACACATCACACAACATAGCATAGCATAGTGTGACATATGTACATACATACTTAAAAATGCATAATGGTATTCGTGACGGCTGACGCGCACAAGAGCAAAGGCGAAAAAATTGAATTTAAATCAACCGCAACAACTTCAACGACGACGCCATAAGGACGCTCCCGGACGCGTGCCACTTACAAAAAAAATTCGGAAAAAAAATAAAATACAATATATAATGGGATGAACAATCAGCTTACCCTTCGGAAAGTAAAGCCAAAAATAGGCATGAACGCAACAGCCGCGCAGCCGCATCAGTAAAATTAACATGCCAGCACACACAACCACGAGTTTGTATATGTATGGCGCATACGCATGTGCACAAGTAAATTCACGTTATGCATACACATGTGTTGAAACATTGATCCAAGGTAGCAGATATCATTCTACGCTATTACATGTTGTTGTTGATTTTTCATATTTAGATAAGCGCAAGGATCAAGTATTGTGAAGTAGCATCTGTTGGTTTGGTGCGACTTCAAATTAAGGACAGGCAATGAACCGGTTGGAACGGCAAGGATAACAACAACGTTGGTGCAGAAGACGCTACCTTAAGCAAAACTACAACAAATGCCATTGCAGCCAAGCGTGCTGTCCTGTATTACAAGGAAAGCATTGCGTACGTAGTAAGCAATTGTTGTTGCACGTTTCATGTCTTCACATTTTTGCCTTTATTTCGAAAATTCGAAAATGGGCATGCGCCAGCTGCTTTTTGCTTTTCAAGTGGACAAGGATTTACGAAAACGTTTGTGCGTATATACAAATGTGTATGTATGTAAATGCTCAAAATAGGTTAGGCTATTCGTATGTATGTATGTCGATCGACCATTTATGGTATATGAAGCATGTAAAGTACTTAATTGTGCCTAAGGATATAATCTAAATAAGCGACGGTTTCTTTGGTATGTTGTAAAATTATCGAACCAAAGAAAATATCTACCTATACTACATACATATGTATGTACATACRTACATATAAATATTTCTAGCTCGTCTATAAAATTAATTTAAAAAATATGTTTTTATTTAAAAAAAATTTATTTTATTCCCTGCAAAGATCCGCCAAATTAGGCAACTAAAACGAATTTCGGCACCAAAGCTACTGAGCACTAATGGAGTCAGACTCCAACTCGTATACCCACACATATGTACATACATGCACATATAATCTTTATTACATTTATTAGAAATATATCCAATAATTTCTATACTTCTTTTCCTTGCAGTTCGTCGCTCGCCATCTTCCTGCCCAGGTCCCAACAACTTGCCACCCCTCCAATTCCACACTGTACATGGCGACAACATACGGATATCACGCGACGGCACTTTGGCGCGTCGATTCGAAAGTTTCTGCCGTGCAATCACCTTCTCAGCACGTCCGGTGCGCATCAACGAGCGCATTTGTGTGCGTTTCTCAGAAATTTCTAACAATTGGAATGGCGGCATACGTTTCGGTTTCACCAGCAACGATCCGGCAACACTGGAGGGTGCGCTGCCTAAGTACGCGTGCCCCGACTTAACGAATCGTCCCGGTTTCTGGGCGAAAGCGCTGCACGAACAATATTGCGAAAAGGATAATATACTTTATTACTATGTCAATTCGGCTGGGGATGTGATCTATGGCATCAATAACGTGGAGAAGGGCATCATATTGAGCGGCATCGATACGCGCGGCTTACTCTGGACTTTGGTGGACATCTATGGTAATTGCACTGCGATTGAGTTCTTAGATGCGCGCGTTTATATGTATCAACAGAGCGGTAATGGACTCGTGGCCGCCGGTGTAGCATTACCTGCCGGCAATGGTGGTGTTATTGGTGCTGGTGGCACATTGCCTGGTCCACAAATACCACTGAATCCACATCACCCACATCAGCAATCGCGTCGCTCATTGCCAGCTGTCGAGCAGGATTTGGATCGTCATGTATTGCCTTCAATGCAATCGCTGAACATTTCCATGGAACAAATGCCGTTTGCACAAGATATGGCCAATGGTCTGCCACCTTTACGCTATAATGCCAACGGCCGCCTCATACCGGTACCCTTTCACATTACCAAAGGCCGCAATGTGCGTCTCTCCATGGATCGCTTCATAGCGTCACGTACAGAGAATGACTTCTGCCAGGGTTATGTGTTCACAGCGCGTCCCATACGCATCGGCGAGAAGGTGATTGTACAAATACTTAAAACCGAACAAATGTACTTGGGCGCATTGGCGCTGGGCCTTACCTCTTGCAATCCGGCGGGATTGCAACCCTCCGACCTACCCAACGATTCTGATTTTCTACTCGATCGCCCCGAGTATTGGGTGGTGAGCAAGGATATCGCCTCACAACCACAACGTGGTGACGAGATCGCCTTCTTTGTCGCACCCAATGGTGAGGTAACCATTAGCAAAAACAATGGCCCTGCCGTTGTTGTCATGCATGTCGATCAATCACTGCAGCTGTGGGCTTTCCTCGATGTTTACGGTTCCACACAGTCGGTACGCATGTTCCGCCAACAGCTACCCAATATGGTTAATTATCCACAACAACCGCTCTCCGCCGCACCGTCGACACAACGCCTTCCCCAACACGGCAATATGTCAATTGCCGATTCGATGAATAGTCTGAATAGTCAAATGTCTGAATCGCGCAAAATGTTGCACACCTCTGCACTCACTGTGGCATCACACAACACCATGAACAGTTCTGCGGCAACGCTGGCCTCCATGACGGCCAATGCGGCGATAGCGGCACAAACTCATTGTAATGTACCTGCAGCGACGGTGTCGACGGTCACGCCCGTCACCAAAACCAATGGCAATACCACGGCGACGGCGACCGGTCACATGATCAGTATGCCATCAAGTGGTGATCTCATACAGATTCAGCCGAACGGTGGCGGTACTGTATTGGTTGTGAATTTGCCACCTGCGAACTCGTCACACGAACTGAATAGTCTGAGTGGTAGTGGTAATGGTGTGAGCGCGACAAGGCAGCCAACATCGGGTGTACTGGCTGGCGCTTGTTCGACAACGATAACCAGCAATCAGTACATTGAGGTGAGTAGCAACGCAACTAATAAATATATATTCAAACATATGCTGAAGTACTACCATATAATTGCCAACAATTCTAACCTATAATTTTATTTATTTACCTTTAATTCTTTTCCAGCCTGTGTCCTCGTTGAACGGTTGCAATTCCACTCAGGAGATGAATAAATGGAAAGATACCGTCGATCACAGTGGCAATGGCAGCGCTGGCGCTGAATGCACAATCTGCTACGAAAATCAAATCGACTCGGTGCTTTATATGTGCGGACACATGTGCATGTGTTACGACTGCGCTATCGAACAGTGGCGTGGCGTCGGCGGCGGTCAGTGTCCACTATGTAGGGCCGTCATACGTGATGTTATACGTACGTATACCACGTGAACGGCACAGTGAGGCACACAAAAATAATAATACAAAAAATTAACCTGAAAAAAGGCGAAATGGAATGCAACAAACTACGCTAATGCCAAATGTAGAGCCGATTTTTTTTTAAATTAACAATTTCGCGTTACAACAAAGCATTAGATTATTACAATAATATATAAAACAATGAGAATGTGAGAGTGTAAGATGAACACGTAATTCCTACATTAGCTGAAATTGCCTCCTAACAACGTATATAATACGCGTATCCCACAAAAGGAAGCAAAAAATTGTGAAAAAAGCTATTAGGCAACAGTAAAACCGTCAAGTGCTTAAATTAAGCATACAAACTGTTACTCGCAGTCAAAGACAGATGAGATGAATGAAAGGTAATCGATATATGACCGAATGACTAAACAACTCGCAATTTTCTTAGAAGACTACATACATAATTAATAAAAAATGCAACAAAAACAAAAACTGTCCAAAAATATAAGAGAACACAGCACTTATGATTAAAAATAAACTAAATTGTAATTAAAACGTATTAAATTATTAGTAACGTTAAAAAGCAGACTAGAGTACTTTAAGAAAAGAGCGAAAAAATAATAACCTGATTTAAAAGCAAAAGAAAAACAAAAAATGCATTTACTCTAAAGCAGAGCAGACACGTGTAGATTTTGTATTTAGTACCTAGAAGTTAGAACTTAAATATAATGCTAATTCAAACAAAGACCAAATGCAGAGTAGTGTTCAGAATACGGCAAGAATTGCAGCTGAACGCTGTTAACATGCAAATTGTAAATTTAAATTAAACTCAAAACATAAAATGCAAACGCAAATAACAAAATAATTAAATAACAATTGTAACAGAACAATATTCTAAATTTGTGATTTTATAAAAGAAAAGCAAAAAAAAAAAAAATTTCTATAATAATTTAAGCAACGTTTATTGGCGACGAAATTATAATGAAATGTAGTTATATAATACTGTAATTAGTAATATTTAATCCAAAAATATTTCAATTTTATGGTGTTTTCAAGTGAAGTCCAAAAATGATTTGTTTTGCTTAATGTTTACTTAATATTGTGTGATTAATTATAAGGCTGATTGAATGTTGAAAGTTTGGCTTAGATTTGTGCGTTAATATGCCTATAGTTTTCTTTAATGAAATTAACTATAAATACACATTTTTGCTTGTTTTGCTGAAAGTATTTCGAAATGTTTATTTTGAGTGTCAATCAGAAGTTTTTTAAATTGCGTTAATAACCTCGCTCAATTAATCACATACTATTTTTATTGATAGTTACTAACGGTATTGCACACTCTCTATTTACCGTTAGTTAGTTCAGCATTTTTTAATAAATCGTGAAAAATTCCTAGTTACTAGTTAAAGCGCATTTCTGAAGCGTAATGTAAAAGAAACATATAAGTCAGTTTCTTGCATGCCACATTTTTTTATGTATAAACAAAACTGCCACAAACTGTTACAACAAAACTTTTGAATGCTAAAAGAAACTTGCTATTCTTTGCTATTACTAATGGCACAATAAAAACTGCCTAACAAAATATAAAAAAACACAGTGAATCACAAAAAACGACCTTAAGAAGTTAACAGCATTATCTAGGTGTATTTTTTCTTTAAGATGCTTGTGTAATTTTGTTAAAATAAAATTTCGGATTATATGTGGTTGGAAAGGAAAATACTTTCCGTATTGTACGGATTAGTGTACATAAAATTATACGCAGATTACAACAAGCGGCTTTTCGTTTTTCACCAAATGTATAAAAAATCAAATTTTTATAATGAAAATTTCGAATATTTTGATGAAATGAAAAACATTACAAAGATATTATTATTTATGTGTATAAAGTGGCAACACTGTTAATTTCTTTTTTATATTATTAAAAAAGAAACAGAGTAACTTTTATATTTTATGAAAAAAAAACATTTCAATAATTTATTAAAACGCTGTACAATAAATAGTATAGTTATACATTAAAAGAAATTTAAGGATTATTTGCATGTTAAGCATTACCTCTACTTGTCATTTGATTTGTTATCTATTGTATTGTATTTTCCTCAAGTTTATAAGGAACAATTTACTGAGCAAGATAGTTTTAGTTTCCTATTTTAAGACTTGAATATTTTTTTTTTTATACTTTTGAGAATATTATATATGCGTATGATTAGTATTAAGTTATTTTTTGTATTAATTTCTAGTCAACGAATATTAAAAAATAAAAATATAAATAATTAAAAAATTAAAAATGGTAAAAAATGTGTTTAAAGGAACGGAAGAAAGAGATTTAACAATTTGAAATAAATGCAAAAAAAAAAACAAAAATGATGACAATTAATGATAAAGAAATGAAATAAAAATAATAAATCCTACTTTATATAATAAAAGATACCATTGTTGTTATACTAAATGACGACTAGCCAACTATTTTAATGCCAGTTTTAATTAAAATATAAAATGCTATCGAAATAGAAGTTTTTAGGCTTTTTAAATAGCAATTGTAATATGGAAAAACTGAAAGGAAAATTAAATCAAAATGAATTCTAGCTATGAAATAATCATATATAAACTAAAAGCGAAGAACCTAAATTTGAAAAACAATAAAACTAAAAAAGAATTTAATATGGCACATGCCTAATTTATTATTTTTGAAGCAAATATGTATATTTAAAAGCAGAATTAAAAGTTTACTTTATTGAAAACCAGATGTTAACAGAATATTTTTAATGACAATCGTGCGAGTCTTCCGCCAAATAATTGTACGATTTATATTTAATATGAAAACTCGCACGAAATCGCTCGTTTATTTATTTTTACAAATTGCTGAAAACCAATTATATTGTAAAAGTACATATATGTATGTATGTATATATATTTTTCTTTTGTTTTAAAATAATCCATGTTTCTACTCAATGAAACACTCGTAAAGATTTGAAACACAGTTGTATGCATGCATAGCGCCAAACGAAATATTTATGAACTATACAAATTTGATTAAACATAAAAACTTACTACACCCACACAAACATACCTAAAGACATAAGACATTAGGGGTTAGAATTCGCCTTAATTTTTTTCTTTTTTTTTTTTTGAAGTGATGCTATAAATGCATATATTTTATGTTTAAATAAAGGTGTCACGTAATTACTTTAAATAAACAACAAAAATGCACTGACTAGGTCTTAGATTGAGCCACATCGGACCACACTATGAAATTAATGGTGTGTTGAATTCGTAATTGTAAATTATATTATATTATAAGATTAAAAATCTGAAGAAATTTGTTAATTATTATATCAAAACAATGGACGATGATGATTAAATTAAAATGAATATTAAAAAATAAAAATCATGATTGTAATGGTTTTGCATGATAAAATAAGCCAAAACTGATAATGAAATGTGAATTGAAATCGACTTGCTAAATATTCGTTTCGAATAAAGCTAAGCAAATAAAGTTTAAAAATACCAAAAAATAAAAATATGAATATATTTGTAAATTTGTTATAATAACAAGGATATCAATCGAATGTAAAATGTGGGTAAGTAATTCGGACAAAAACTAATTTATGTGTGTTATGCTTGTATTCTCAAAAATTGCTCTCAGACCACTGCTGCATAACGCAAAAGGCATTTAAATGCTAAATTGTGGTAAAAAAGTACTCTGGAGTTACAAATAAAACGCAGACTATTTAATTACTCATTAATATTTGTTTTGTCGCTTTCAAAGTAATCACCACCAGTTATGCCAACGATTTTTTCAGTCCTCGAAGCACTTTTCACAAGCTTTTTTTGGGATGACCTTCAGCTGCATCAGCGAATTCATGTACAATGTAAATACATATGTGTATATTATTATTATTTGTATTAGCATTTATTGGCAAACGACTTCATCGCATATTAGATTGCTCCTGCTTAAGTCACAAGAATTGATTCAATGTCTTTCCTTCTTAAAGTTTCTAATGTAGGTTAGAATCGGTGCTTCTGCACAATGATCATTTGTTGAGTCTTTCATTGAAATCATGGTACAAGGTACGATGATCGAAATACATAATTTTTGTTAACCTAATAAGATATTTGTACATACAAACATATGTGTACATATTTATATATGTTCATTAGCGGTGTGCACCGCACACATAAAAAAGTATAAATTTTTTATTTTAAGATCAAATGAATTGACTATCCACTTATTGAGCTATCGCTCAAATGAAAACGTTATCCATGTGAAAACTTTTAATGATCAGAGAACGTACTATAATCACGTTCTCTGACGTAAGGTATATAAAAAATAACTTGGCAGCCCTGAATGTGTATTGCGAAAAATGTCAGCTGGACTAAAAATATTGGAATAATATTTGATAGAATTGATTGTTTATTGTGCTTTATTTCATTAAAAAATAGTAAAATTTTCTTTTGTATTAAAATAAAATAAAAACTTCAAAATGGATAGTTACACGCCAATTTCATGGTATATTGGCACCGAGTGGACTATGCCGGCGAAAGGTTTGCGCAAGCAAGTTCTATCCTTGGACAATTTCAAGTGTTTGAATAAACCTCATTTAGTGTCGAAAGTTGTGATAAAAGTGGAAGAAGTGCAAAATTTAAATGGACGTGAAAGTCAATATCTATCCAATGAGTTAATTGAACAAGAGCAAAAAGTGGAAATAGGCAGTGCTCTCACACCGGTTGATTGCTATGTAGAGCTGCTTGTGCGACAACTTGTGGTAGGTGAACGTGCCCGTTGCTTCATTGCCACAAAGAAGGAGGAAATAATATTCATATTGACTCTAATAAGAATAGAAGAAACAAAGGAAATATATAAATTAAATGTTGCGGAGATGTACGCCCTCGCAATGCGTTACAAAGAAAATGGCGTTGTTATGTTCAAGCAGTACCCTTACTTTGCTCATGCTTATTTTTCGCGCGCCGCTAAATTTTTGATCTCATATAAACCATTTGAAGGTCTAACGGTACACAAAGATGGTATATCGAGTGAGGAAATGCAAATGCTTTTTACGCAGATACAGACAAATTTAGCCGCTTGTTTGTTGAACGAACAGCGCTACGAAGATGTACTATATCAAACAAAATTTGTAGAAGAGCATCCAGATGCAACAGAAAAAAGTATTTACCGAAGGGCAATGGCATTTTATCATCTTAAAGAATTTGAAAAAGCTCAGAAACTTATTGAGAGTATTTCAAATTATCAAGAGAAAAAAGAATTTGCTAAACTTCATCAACGTTTAGGGGAAAGTTGGAAAACCAGTAACGAGCAATATAAGAATGTAGTGAAACGTATGTTTAGTTAGACTGAAATGTATAATTTTAAGAAGAATGATTTAATAAAGTTGTAAAAATAAGAAGTAAACTAGTGAGAAAATATTTTTTTATTGAGTGTTAACAATAAATTTAAATATATATACATCACTTCTTTTTTTCCTGCGCTTTTTTTAGCTTCTTGTTTTTAAACTTTAAACTTGCCGGTAAACTGGCACGTTTCCTTGAATTGCTTTCAGATTTGAAAAGCTCTGCGAAGTTAATTCAATATATTACTAACAAATTTATTTAAAAGAAATAAGTTATTTGATTCTCACCTTCATCAGGATCTTCGCCAACTTCTTCTTTATAATATTCTGCATCGTTTTCTGGATCGCTGTCTTCTTTCGTTTCATCACCAATAGCTGCTGCTTCGCTCTTATTTTTTTTGTGTTTACCGGACACTTCCTCTTTTGCACGCAAATTGCGTTTACGGTTCTCTTCTTGTACTTTCTTTCGGTATTCTTTTAGTTTTCGTTTCTTCTCTATCATTTTACGTAGTGCTTCCTTTTCCTCTTCCGTCTTGACGACGTGATCGTGATAGAGCACTTCACCGGTTAGAAGACCTTCCTCGATTTTCATTAATTGCATAGTTAAACGTGGACCAATCTCAAACAGACGTACCGCTGATTTATTATCCTCTAAATTGCCTTTACGTTTAAGAGTTTGTGGCAGAACAACTTGCGATTGCTCATCATCTTCCATTTCCGACTCTGAAGCTCCGCCGTCTCTGTAAGGATCGTTATATATTAAATTTAAATACCATTTAATGAAAAGATATTAACTTACTGCATTATGAAATCAGCAATATCTTCACATTTGGATAAGTTCGGTATTTTGCCCATTACAAGCTTTTTAACGCCTCGCGTTAAGCCGACTGGCACCACTTGAACGGAGTAATGACGCATTTCGATTAAATTTGTTTCCGGTGTATATGAGAATAAAACACAGCGACGGATTGTAGCAATATTTACCTATTTTATAAAAAAAAAATCATAGAATAATATTAAAAATATATAGAATTTAAAACTACTTGTGCTAAATTGATTGCGGGAAACATATTCTGGAACGTGCTGGCCATTAATTTAAGATGTTTACCATCCCCTGTGAAATTGTTCATAATAACGAGTGGTGAATGTTTAAACATATCGTCGTCCACAAATTGTCTTTTGCTGGTTGAAAGTACATCTCGCGCCAAGGTAAATTGATGCACCTGTTGTCAATTTTGTTTTATTTCCATTAATTATTTAAATGATTTATAACAAAATTTACCTTGAAAGTAAGTGTAGGACCACGCGGCATGCGCACAATTTTAAATGACAACTGGGATGTGGCTTTATTAAAAATACCCATATGGGAAACATGAAAGAAACCGCTCATTGCCACAAAATCTTTAATGCGATTAATTTTTTTCTCTTTTAATTGTAATGCTGTAAATGGTTCCATGATTTTTCGAAAATCCAATGTTAAATCGGTGATATAGGGACAAGAAAGTCCTCGATGTATTACAAAAGAATGTGGTGCTTCCACCAGCTCATTAGATTCTTTTTCCTTGAACGCTGCTGTGCGCTTCTTAGGATGTGCTTTCTTTTTAGTTTTGCCCATTTTTATATTCCACTTTAAAAATTTCTTTTAAACAATAATATCTAAAATTGATTTATTTGAAAATGAATACAAATTATATATAACTAAACTTTTGATAGAATCGCATTAGTATCCTCGTGTTTACAATCTTCTTCTTTTTAATATATACTATTCACAATGACTTTTAAAGACTCTCAACTGTGAATAGACTATAACGTTTTTTAAAAAATAATTATGTAATTAATGTTTGTCTAATTTTTCACATACATACATCTACATATCATATTTTAAATTAAAAAAAAACTCTAGGATTTGACAATTTAAGATTAATAAAATGCATATTTATTATCTTGACCAGTACTGTCAAACCATTAATTTATTTTCTGTTAGTGTTATAAACAAATGGATTAAAAAAGCTTAGTTTTGCAAATATATTAACAAACCTGTATTGATCCGGGACTTACCAGTTGCTCTCCCGATAACATTTCCCACTTATTGCTATTGCCGTTTCAAAATATATTTAGTTTAGCTTCCAAAAATATATCCACTTATAATCTCAAAGGAAGTCCGTCTTACTTTTTGACGACACAGTGATGTTTTAAAAAAACATATTTTAAATTTACATTTTTGTTGTTTTAAATTTTACTTTATTTATTCAGATACACTTAACGTCGGTAAATATAGCAAAACACAATATAATTGCATTAATCAATCAATCGATTAATTAGGTTTTTATTTTTTAAATTTATAATCCTCAATAATGTACAACTGGCTGTTGCATGTTGCATCGCTTTTATTTTATTTTTATTTCATACAAGTTCATCAATGTTAATTAATTATTACTCGGTTACACATTTTCTGTTTGCTATGTTTTCCTCTCTACCATTAGCTCCACGATATTTTATATTTTAGCTTCCCTTTATGTGGTGGGTCCACACCCCTACACTATCACCAATTAATTCTTTCAAGAGCTTTTCATTCCGCCTACAGTAGACTACCTTTGCTATACCGCTTTTTTCTCGCCATGCTCTTGTATATATTTATGTATGTATATGCAAGAGTATGCATTATCCGTTGCGTTCAGTATGTATGTGTGTTGGTGTTTCGAGCGTTTATTTTTGATTACTTTATAGTAATTTTATATAAAATTTAATTTTTTGTTTTAATTAAAAAAGCAGAATAATCACTTTTGCAGTTTTTCTTGTGTGTGTTTTTTTTTTTCTTAATTATAATTAATGTTTAAATTAATTTCGTTTTCTCGCATTTGTTATTTTTTAATTACTTTTTACTAAAACATTTACATTAGTTGTATATATCTTCTGAACAATAAAAATTAAATTTATAGAGAATTTTGCATATCGCATTCATTAAGTTAAATGTAAAAAATATAGCAATGGTTTTAATAAAAAGAGAGTTATACATTTAATTGAAACGATTTAATTAAGCAACTGTCGATTAAACAAATTAGCATTCTCTGAAAAAACACACTTGCTCAAACTAAACTATATATATATTTATGTATATACGAGCGCAAGGAACCAAATAGCAAATGACGTTATTGATTGGGCTACGGGTTATAAAGTGTATATAAAATTGCATCACTAATATAACTCAATTTGATTTGTTTTGTATTGAAACTTTGTGAAGCAACTTCTTCAAAGCGTTTAAAAGAGCTGGGACGAGTGCGGGGTAGTTCTCTAAGTATAATAATAGCGTAGAGGGGAATTCATTGCCCACTTCATTTTGTTTTCGTTTTTTTTTACAGAAGATACACGTTCAAATTATAAATACATATCTATATTATTACTTTTCTTTTAATAAATTTCAACGGAGTTTCACTATTTTCTGCTTCAATCATTCCTCATTGCCTTTTAATAAATTGTAGGTAGTATTAATAATTTTTGCTGCTATCTGTTCTTCTGTGTATGTTTTGCTGACGTTTGTTGCCACTGGTGTAGTTTGGAATTGATTTGGATTTATTTGGGGGAATCTGTGGTCGTAGTTTTTGTATTTTTTTCATTTATTGTAGTATTGTTGGTTTTTGTTTTTATTATTTATGCATAGATGACATTTAAAAGTAATGCAGGACGTGCATAAGGCGGTCACTGACAGCACTGCTTGCGTACATCGGCTGTAACAGTCGGCTTCACATCGATGGGCTCCACATTTGGGCGAATGACATCACCTTCAGGTGGATCTCTGATTTGTTTTTGCGATACGATACGATAGATTTCTAAAGACAAACAGCACAGAGTCTAAATTAACACACATACCATAGGCATTTCATTTCAATGTCTTACCTGTGAGTATATTTTGGAATGCAGTTTCAACGTTCGTCGAATCAAGGGCAGATGTTTCAATGAAACTTAACCCATTACGTTCGGCAAAGAGTCTCGCCTCATCCGTCGGCACGGAACGCAAATGTCTCAAATCAGACTTATTGCCAACCAACATAATGACAATATTTTGATCAGCGTGATCACGCAATTCCCGCAACCATCGCTCCACATTCTCATATGTCAAATGTTTGGCAATATCATAGACAAGCAGTGCACCGACAGCGCCACGATAGTATGCAGACGTGATGGCTCGATAGCGCTCCTGGCCAGCCGTATCCCAAATCTGAGCTTTAATCGTCTTGCCATCAACCTAAATGTGATAAATTATAGCAAAGTAATTAGTAGATAGGTGAGATGTGGTAGGGGACAAATTAATTGATAATCTGAAATGCAATATCGTCTATTATTCGCATTATGACGTTAAATATCTGCAGTGGGGGTGTTAACTTGCGAATGCTATGCATTTATAGCTTTGAAATATTTATAAATGCATGCCAAGAGGCTAATTATATTTAGTAGTATAATACTTTAGAAAATTTCATTTACCTCTATGCTGCGCGTTGCGAACTCGACGCCAATTGTCGACTTCGATTCCAAGTTGAATTCATTGCGCGTAAAGCGGGATAGCAAATTACTTTTACCAACGCCGGAATCGCCGATCAGCACAACTACAAATCAGAATTGACAGAACTATTAATTTATGCTGCGTAATGCATGGATCACTTGCAATGAATGTGTAACCCGTGGTAGTTTGTAGTTATAATAATTCGTATTTCTTACAATATTTTCAGAAGACTTAGAGAATGTTAAGGTAGAAGTAAAAATGGTAACAGTCGCTAAATGACATTTATGTGTGATTATACGTAGGAGTACACATGTGTATACATAAAATCGTTGATAAACACTGTTTCTTCTCTCAAAAATATATGTATGTGTTGTTTTAAAGATTGTGGAAAATTTAAAATATTTTGCATTTAGCTCATTCTATGCTTATCTTTATCTTTATTAAAATATTTTTTCTTCAACAGTTCGTACTTTGCTGATAGCTGAGAAAGCAAAAGGCATGAGTCACCAAATTTGGGGATTTGAGTTCCGAGTGGTACTAAACTCGAGTAAGCTTGCAATGATCACTCCACACAAGCGAAAAAAGTAAAGATTTTATTTTAAATAAAAGGAAAAATTAAAAGACAAAGATAATAAAAAAAACATTAAAAACGATGATAAAATAACCATTCAAAAAATAAGTGACATTACCAGCAAACATAAGCTCGTACTTATTAACATGTGTATGTTTCATAAATTATATGTATGTATGTATATATTCTGTACGTTCTTCCATTGCAATAATAAAACTAGCTATGTACTATGTTATCACAAGTGATGGAGAAAAGTTATGCGTTTTTTAGGAGTTTAGTTCTTAAGGAAAACTCATAAATAATAATATGTGTGCATATGTATTACAAATGCGTTATATACATAATAAAATATACGAGTGTTGTTTTGCGCAATTATTGATGCTGGGAAAGAAATCCGGTCTGCTACACCAACAACAACAGAGAACGTGATGAGAAAAACAGAGAAATTATTAATACAAAAGCTACAAAGGAAATTGTCTGATTAAGGCATAATCACGACGAGGCGTTTGGGGAGGGTGGTATTTCCTACAGCTGAGAAAACAAAGGAAACATCTGAAACGTCACAGTAATAGTTTTGCGACTATGATTTTCAAACAGAAAAATTGGAAAACTCTTGAAAAAGAACTATAAACATATTAAAAAAAAAACACAAAAATTCACTACACACTAAAAACACAATCAAACCCACAGATAAAATGTGATATAAAACTAATAGGAAACTGTCAAAACTGCGGATAACGCGTCCGAAATACTTTATGCAACGTGTCACTTAGCCAATTGTCCAATAACGATAGCAAAGCAAACGTATGTTTGTACAAAGCAGAACATGCAAGAACAAGAGTATGTTACGGCATGCAATAGAATGCCGATTAAACTTGGACGTCTGGTTTTGCTTGGATGCATGTGGTTGAAAGTAGTGGCAACGGTAGTTATTGCAGCTGACTATTATAAACCAGCGACTTAGGGGGCGGTAAAAACAGCTGAAAGGAAATCATAAAGCAACTGAAAATATACTACTTACACACAATGCATCATTCTGAAATGTCTTCGGCATACTATTACCGAATTAATTAAGCAGCTAACATTTTTACAAAGTGTTTACTGAATGTTCATAATTCGGTTTTTGAATGAGAATAACGAAACATAGTTATACCTTTTTTAAGGCTAATCTATGTTTTCTCTACACATTACGCACTCAATTTGTACGCTGTTCAATTGAAACAATCAAAACTCGAACTACCAAACAATTTCACATTAGCTACGTCATCGCACGGTATTGATGAATGACTCTTTGATTTGTTCCACTTTCATTGCAACTTTTTCAGTTTACGTAAATTAATATTTTTACAGATCCATCTTTACATATAGATGATTGAAACAGAATTATAATATAATTACCTTTAAATAAATAATCGTATTCATCCTCTCTAGAACCCATGATTGGCTGTGAATTATTTTGTCAACTGTTTTCGGTGTAGCTTCTTCCTCTTTGTTTTTTTTTTGCTTTGGCTATGCAATTGAGTGACCTGCGTTTATCCTTTTTGAGTTACTCCACTTATTTTATTTTCCAGCAATTTTCTTCTTTATCGTCGGTTTCACTTGGAAAGTTTCTTTTCGGTATGTAATTTGCGTATCTTTTTACTACTCTTTCTCAAAAGCTCTTTTTTTGTAGTAATAAAAAATTCACGATTATTCACCGAAATGCGATGAAACACACAAACACGTAAGAGAGTGAAATCAAAGGGCAATGCGACGGTCCAGCGGATGGGTGACAATGACGACGACGTTTAACGACAGCACAGACCGTAAAACCAATGAAAGAAAAGAAAAATATTAAATTAGAAAAAATTACGGGGCGGTAACTTTTTTCCACTGATTGACAGGCTGCTGATTCTACTTCTGCAGTTACTTGTACTTAATTGTCTATACTGTGGCTTTATTTCCATCGGAATTCGCCTCAATTTTTCATACACAATTTGTTAAGTTACACTTAAAAATATTGCTTATTTGTTATTTCTATTCCCTTATCAAAGTTTAAATCTTAATTTTAATCATGAATATATTGATGCAATTACATTTGTTATGCTTATTTAAACTTTTCAAAATTAATCACCTTTTTACGCGACAACTACGACGACGACACAAGAAAATATTTTCTTCCCTGCTCGATGTGCCGTTGTTCAATATTAAATATGGCGTGCAACGAAGGCGAAAATTAAAAGGTAAGGAGAAAAAGTACACTATTACTTTTCTTTGCTCTACTACAATACATTCGGAACATCTCCAATTTTATTAAATTGAATGTTTCTTTTATTTAAAATTGCATGTTTAGCTTGACAATAAAATATAATTGTACATAATCCTATTGAGCTTTGATATTAATTGAACCGTTTAGAGAAATACAAATGTAAAGAGACTGACTATTTTAAATCATAAGACAAGTTTAGTATGATATAATCGATTTTCACTTATAAATACATACACACATTTTTATTGAAAATTCATTTATTTATCGATGTCAATCTTGAATTACTATAACTAAAACTATAACATAAGGCTTTGAAAATATGTTAAAATATAAATTATCTTGATTTTTTATCAAAATTAAACAGAATACATTAATCAATTTAAGAAATATTCGATAGAACTTTATTGTTAAATACTGAAATGATATAATAAACATAATAAGTAGAAAGAATTTCATAATACACAATACATTACTGAGAATTTTAAACTCAATTAAACTTTAAAATTTAAATACTTTAAATTTTTGTTTAATTATATTTAAATTTTGAAAGCTTCGATTTTTGTAAAACATAGTTTTGGAGTGACCACTATATCTCGGAACTGGATTCTCTGAAATTAAAACACAAACAGATTTCGTTAAAGTAATGTTAAAACTGGTAATTTAGCGAAGAAAAAGGAAAAATATTTTTTTTTTTACAAAATGGCAAAATGACATCGCTTTTTGACCAAAATTTCTGTTCAAAATTATTTATCGAAAAAAAAAAAAAAAATACTTATCGATGAGAAAAAATCTTCAATTAAACTATATTTAAGAAACTCGTGTTAAAATTTGGGAATAATTGGTTAAGCCGTTTTCGAGTAATGTTGGTCACCGACTTGGAAAACGTGTGGATGAAAGTAGTGACAACGGTAGATATTGCAGCCGACTATTATTCACCAGCGACTTAGGGGGAGGTAACAACAGCTGAAAGGAAATCATAAAACAGCCGATTATATTGGGAAAAGGTGCCGACTGGAGATTAAGCCCTTACACAAAACACATCATTCTGAAATGTCTTCGGCATACTATTACCGAATTAATTAAGCAGCTAACCTTTTTACATAGTGTTTACTGAATGTTCATAATTCAGTTTTTGAATGAGAATAACGAAACATAGTTATATCTTTATTAAGCCTAATCTATGTTTTCCCTACACATTACGCACTCCATCTATGGCCTGTTCAATTGAAACATCAAAACTCGAACTATCACCGACCAATTTCACACGAGCTACGCCATCGCACAGTATTGATGAATGACTCTTTTACTTTTGTTTCACTTTCATTGCAATTTTCTTTACAGATCCATCTTTACATATATAGATGATTGAAACACAAATAAAATATAATTACCTTTAAATAAGTAATCGTATTCATCCTCTCTGCTTCCCATGATTACATATTTAAACTTTTCAAAATTAATTACCTTTTTACGCGACAACTACGACGACGATACAAGAAAATATCTTCTCTGCTCGAGTGCCGTTGTTCAAAATTAAATATGGCGTATGACAAAGGCGAAATTTAAAAGGTAATATAATAAAAAGAAAATATACGCTATTACTTTTCTTTTCTACTACAATACATACGGAGCATCTCCAACTTGATAGAATTGAATTACAATAAAAAAATTATTACCCACATAATCCAATTGAGCTTTAATATTACTTGAACTGTTTTGACAAATACAAATGGTAAAATGGCTTGCTATTTCTAATAATTGGACCAGTTTATATCGAAATGTTCTAAGCTGCCTTGAATCCGTGTATTCGGAAAATACGTAGTATGATATAATTGATTTTTACTTATAAACATACATTCATACACTTTTATTGAAAATCCATTTATTTTACAATGTTAATCTTACTATGCACTAAAAAAATAATATCATAAAGCTTCGAAAATTTGTGGGATATAAATTTGATTAATTTTGTATCAAAATTAAGCAGAGTACATTTAATCAATTTAAGCAATATTCGATAGCTTTTATTGTTAAATACTAAAATGGTGTAAAAACATAATAAATATAGAAAATTTCATAATACACAAAACATTACTGAGAATTTTACGTCCAGTAACTCGAAGCAAGTTTAATTACTTTATATTTTTGTTTCATTATATTTAAATTATGAAAGCTTCGATTTTTGTAAAATGTATGCTGGGCCCAGTAATAAAAGTCCACCAGTAATATAAGTTAGTCGCGAACCAAAACTCCAAAATGCTGCAACGATATCAAAGTAAATAAATGTAGGGTTTGTTTGAATATTATACCTACAAATACAACCAACAACAGGACCAACGGCACGTGCCAAGGCACCCAAAGAACGGAAAATTCCGAGCACCGAACCTTTTTGATCGTCATTCCCATACCGCGAAACTAATGTGGTTAAGCAAGTAACAGCAAAGGCTGTGGCTAGAAGTATTAAATGTATCAATAGTTTATAAACTTTTTTGAACACAATAATTTTAGGTAAACTTACAAACCGCAAATAGAAACATGCCTGCATATAGCAAACTTCCATCTTTCGCCAAACCAACTAATATAAATGCAGGTACAATAAGATACAAACTAAATACAGCACACGGCTTTGTCGCATGAGGAGGTAGCCTCCGGACAACCCCTCCTTGCAGAATGGCCATTACAACACCTACAATAACAAAAATAGAAAAGTTTACAAAAATACATATTAATGCAGACTACATACATATAATAATTACCTGTCATAAGAAACATTTTTGCTTGCTCCATGGAATTGTAGCCGAACTTGTGATACATTAGGAATGTAACAGTGAATTCCAAACCGGAATACAGAAATAGGTATAAGAAGTAAATTAGTCCTATTTTACGTAGTGCAAACATTTCGGCTTTGGATACTTTCTTAATTGCAGAGAATCTATTTATATTAATAAATTATGCAAGTTTATAAGTATAAAACACTTATAGAAAATTTTTATTGTTAGCTGTCGATAGATTGTTAAGGGGGGAGTACAGATTTTATTTTTGTTAGATTTATCTTTGCCTTAATTTAATACATAAATATCTTAAGAATGTTGTATCTAAATAATTATTTTATTAAATTGAAGTTATGGCTATTTTTATATGTATCGTATAAATATTTTCCCCATCTGATTTCGAAACTTTAAAGCATTTCTCCAAAACTCACGTTTTCCAAGTCGATGCTTCTCATAACTTTAAAACTATTGCACCAACCGAAGTTGTCAAAAACTTTCATTTACAATAAAAAATCCTTCAAAGTCCTCCCAAAAGAGGAAATTTTAAATTTTGAAAGTTGTGAGGGGGACGGCAATGGAAGATGTCAAACAACAATGTACCATTCAGTTTATTAATTTTAACTGTTTCACAAAAAGTAAACTTCTCAATCCCCCTTAAGAAAATTTAAACTGTTATTGTTCTACTTTTTTTTGTTGTAGGTTGTGTGTTTTTCAATGAGTACTTATATGAGCATTTGCTTTTTAATCTATCACACAAATTTTTCAAATGTTTACTAAAAGTTGTTTCTTATCTAACATTAAAAAACGTGCACAGTGCTAAAGGGCTAACAAATACGCGCTGATTAGCATACTATACTTCAAAAAGAGGATAAAAAAAAGTTTAAACATAGATAAGAGTGCAATCGATACGTGTACGATGACTGTAATAGTAATTAAAACAATGTGCTGTTAATATAGAACTAGCACTGCGAGTAAAAGTAATTTTTTGTAGTACAGTTATAATAAGTATGTATTGTATATTAGTTTTGCTTTATTTTATACGCACTTGAATATTGACCGCACGTCCAGTAATTGAATTGCATATGACATCGCCGATGATATCTCTTTAACACGTTTTTCCTGATTTATATAGTGTATATTTTCAATTTCTAATCCTTTAATCTAACAGTTACTCACCTTTGGTAATGTTTCCTTCAGACCAAATGCTATGATCCCTAAATCACATAGAGCAAATGCGAAGGCACATAATGAAGGTGCCAAATACCAAGATCCTACTGATTTATTTAAAGAACGCGCAAATAAGGCACCAATAGTGGGACCTGCAATAAAGCCCACCGAAAAAGCGACACCAACAAGTGCCATACCAAATGCACGTGTTTTAACGCTGGACACATCAGTGATAATTGACATGCAAAGGGATATGTTGCCTTTGCTGATCCCGCCGACTAATCGTGCTAGTACAAAAAGTGCAAAATTACTGGAGAAAGCCCATAGGAGGTAGGATAGCGCAATACCGCTCTGTAAAAGAATTAATAAAAATAAATTATCCTGACAGTTGATCAATATATATAATATTTACCGCACAAAGTAACATTAGCGGCTTACGCCCATAATAGTCAGACAGCCCACCAACTATGGGACTAGCTACAAATTGTAAAAAACTGAACATGGATCCCAAAAAGCCACCATATAACACCGATGTGTATCGTTCTGGTGCCCCAACAAGTTGCTGAAACCAATGTATTCGCTGCGTCAGCAAGTTATACAAACCAGAACTGTCATTCTGACGGTAATGCTCTAGCAAGGAAGGCATTAATGGGAGTATCATGGTAAAAGCGAGTAAGTCAAACAAAAGCGAAATAAATATTAAGGTCACCATTGAACGCGAATTATTTCCAGCAGAATCATCACTATTTTGAAAACTATTAGTCAGCTTCTTATGGCTTTTTGTGGTAGACACTTCTGCATCGTTGTTGTTAATAACTTGATTGCCATTGCGGCTTTTTAATGTAGACGTTGCAGTCATGTAGTTATAGAAAATTGTGTTATTTATCAAATAAAATTATATTGATTTTAGTTTTTACGCCAATAGCTAGCTTTATTACTTTTTGGCGAATATTACAGCACAACAGACATATGCTTAACCGGATTGGTTGGCTGACTACACATTTGTGAAGTGAAAGTTGCTCCAATCATAATCTGCACCCACTAATATATGCAACAAGCTGACGACGATAAAACAACAATTGCTATAAACAAAAACATTGTAGTATTTAAGTGTTGCCACGTTATATGAGAATTTGTTACATTGAAATGGGTACTGTGCCTAATTATATTTTAAGGGTAATTTTCTCAATATTTGGTTTATCGGTAGCATTTGTTTCTCTATAACTGGATAACAACCATCTGCCAATTAAGTTTTGGTACACTTTACCGAAAGTAGTAGTCTTGGTATAAACTATATTTTGGTCATATTAGTTTTAATTTCAGTGGTTGTTGTAAACTTTGTAATTTAACTTTCCATTAGGTGTGTTTTACTTTAATTTTTAATAGATATACTATTTTTTTTTAATATGTATTAAAAATTAGAATTAAAAAAAAATTTGTTCAGAGTTTTTTAAATTTGCAGTTGACTATCCTTTATCTTTTAGATAACTATTGAGAATAGGTCACTGTAAAAGAAGTTAAATTTTTTCTGATTAGACTCACAGCTATACAAATTTATTTTGACCGGGCAAATAAAAAATTAATACACTTTTGTTTTCTCCCGAAATAAGTAAACACATTATTAAATAATGTCAAAAGTAACAGTGCAGGATATTGAAGCGGTAGACGACTATTGGGGACCCACATTCCGATCCATTTTAGAAGGTATTTACGACTACTATATCCACCCACTATTAAAGCGTCTTTACTCTTCAATGTCATTATTTTAATTAAGGAAATAACACAGAATCACTTTCTGAACAATTGGAGCAACGAATACGTAGTCATGATAAGGATATTGAACGCATATGCAATCTATATTACCAAGGATTTATAGATTCAATACAAGAACTGTTGCAAGTGCGCACCCAAGCTAAGCAACTGCATGAAGAGGTTCATACACTAGATAGATCAGTGCAGCAAATAAGCGCATCTGTGTTACAGCAGGGCCAAGATTTAGTGCGTGCTCGTCAAATTGAATCAAATTTGGCAAGCGCTATTGATGCACTTCAAGCCTGTCTCCCTGCACTCGAGTGCTATATTAAATTTACTCAACAAGCAAACAATAAGCAGTATTATCAATCGTTACGAACTTTGGAAACTTTGGAATCACAGCACTTGGTTGGATTAAACAATTATCGTTTTGCCACTCAAATTCGCCAAGCAATACCAGTTATTAAGGAAAATATAAGGCGATCCGCTGAAGCAGACTTTCGAGAATTCCTGGAAAATATTAGAAAGTTTTCACCAAAAATTGGAGAGGTGGCTATTACGCATACAAAAAAATTACAAAAACTGGATATCAACGCAATTATTGAGGAGCATAAGCTATTGCGACAGCAGGACTATCGTGATGAAGAAAATAATCTGAGTGCACAAGATTTAATAGATTTCTCCCCAATATATCGTTGTTTGCACATTTACATGGTATTGGGGCAGCGTGAGTATTTTGAAAAGGATTATCGTCAACAGCGACGCGATCAGTCCAAGCTAGTTTTGCAACCACCACCGGGTATGCACGATAATTTGGAGGCTTACAAAACTTATATTTGTGCTATTGTCGGTTTTTTCATTGTGGAAGATCATGTAAAAAATACAGCAGGCGATGTTGTAACAACCTCATATTTGGAGGATTTATGGTCCACATCATTAACGAAATTTGTAAATGAGATTAGCATGGCGTCATCATCTTGTACAGACCCAAATATTTTGCTACGCATAAAGAACTTAATTATGCTCTCTATAAATACTTTTAAATGTTACGGATACACAGTGAATATGTTATTCGAGTGCCTTCATAATATGCGTGATCACTACAACGAGGTGAATATGACAACATAGTCAAGTTATAATAAATGTATTCTAATATTTTATGTTAATTTATAGGTTCTACTGCAACGTTGGGTTCACGTCTTTCGCGACATATTGGATAAAGAGCAATTTCAGCCAATGATTGTTGAAAATCAGGAAGAATATGAGTCAATTATTGAACGCTTTCCATTCCACTCGGAGCAATTGGAAAATGCGCCATTTCCTAAGAAATTTCCTTTTTCGCGTATGGTACCTGAAGTCTATCATCAGGCAAAAGAGTTCATGTATGCTTGTATGAAATTCGCCGAGGAGCTTACACTTTCGCCAAATGAAGTTGCAGCAATGGTTCGTAAAGCCGCAAATTTATTACTGACACGCAGTTTCAGTGGTTGCCTTTCCATGGTATTTCGCAATCCAAGCGTTGCGCTTCCACAACTTATACAAATTATAGTTGACACGCAGTATTTGGAAAAGGCTGGCCCATTTTTGGATGAATTCGTTTGCCATATGACCAATACGGTGAGTAACATTTCACAAACACCCTCGGCTATGTTTCATGTGGCTCGGCAGGAAGCTGAAAAACAGGTTGGCGTGCGAATTTGCTCGAAAATAGATGAATTCTTCGATTTGGCAGCATACGATTGGTTACTTATCGAACCACCAGGCATTGCATCCGCTTACATCACTGACATGATTTCTTATTTAAAGAGTACGTTCGATAATTTTTCATTCAAATTGCCCGGCATAGCGCAAACGGCTTGCCGACGTACCTGTGAGCACATTGCAAGCAAAATCTATGATATACTCTATGATGAGGAGGTGAAACAAATATCAACTGGTGCGCTACAGCAAATTAATTTGGATCTGTTGCAATGCGAGTTCTTTGCAGCGTCCGAACCTGTGCCTGGTTTACGTGAAGGCGAGCTTTCCAAATATTTTCTCAAAAATCGTCAATTATTGGACCTACTCATTATGGAGGAGTGGAGCACTTATTTACATGATTATGGCAAACAAGAAAATCGCTATCATTTAGTGCATCCACAATCGATTATTGTTATTTTGGAAAAGATACGTGAGGCCGATAAGAAGACCATGTTTTCGGTATTGCGTAAAAATGATAAAAAGAAGCTCTTAGACACAGTGCTGAAACAATTGAAACATCTGACTGAACGACAGAATTAAAATGTTGAAAACTTGTGATTAATACCAGTTGGTTTTGATCGAACAATATAGAATAATATAATTTTTAAACAATTTACTATAAAGTCAAAAAGCTCTAACGATTTTATTTATTAATTTTTATATCCAAAATAGAAACCGGAAAATTTTAAATTTTTGTCTCAAGGGCGCTATGAGCATAAGTGTATCCAATTTTTTTGATGCATAACATGCATATTTGCTTTAATTTTATTTATTTTAATATATAAAAGAATTGCAACTTTGTTTACATTTCGTTATATGATATTTGCTTCGATTTTATAAATTCTCACCCGAAAAAATTGTATGCATCATTGAGTTAAACATTTTTGGTGTAATATATACAAAGTATATGCAGTAATTTATAATTATAATAATCGTATATTTATGCTGGATGTTTGAATGCGTTTGGATTAATTAATTATGCAATTAACTGTCTGTTTTCAGAATAATTAAGCATTTGAACGCTTTCATAACTAACGCATGTTTTTATTGAAACGAAATTATGCCACGTACTCATAGATATATGCTTTCCGTTGTTGCTGGTGTCAACTTTTCGTCTCCAAATGCTTGGGCGCATCAGCATAAGTGAATTTTAGACGAAACGCCTCCGCAACCAGTACATTTATTTGACGATCAGACCAGTTTTCCGTTGGCAGATTTTGTAGCAGAAGCAAGAGACCCTAAATGCATTAAGTTGTATATATTATTAAGTTTAGCAATAAACGGTTTAGTTCAGTTCGAGTTGTCGGCTTACCTGAAAATCATTTTGTTGCATTAATCTGTCTTTCCAATGCAATAGAAATGCTGCACACACATATAAATGGAAGAGTGCGAATCCATCAGACTCGGCGAGGTATGTGTCCCACAAGCGTATAGTGCAATGAAGCGGTAGTTCCCGTGTTAGTAAATTATTCATCCAGCGAAAAGAAAATTGCAGATAATCCACGCCATGCGCTTGCAGGTGACGATGAAGATTCCCTACAAAAAAGGTGTAAATTATTAAACTGGAAAAAACGTTCATCACTTGTTAAACACACCATCAATTCGCTGTATAAGATCTTTTAGTTGATTAACTTTTTCTTGAATACCTAATTGCGCAAAAATGTAATTATCTTGTATGCAGTCGAGAAATTTGGAGAGACACCAAAAGGAGTCCGCTTCAATGGCGTCTCGCTTATCTACAGGTAATGTGCTAATATCAAATTTTTCTAAATCCGTGCCTGTTCAAGAAATTAACATAATTAACATTATTGCATCATTTGAAGGGTAAATAAAAAGAAAACAATTACCTGGTTCGAGTACTTCTTGCATAAAGACAATGAAAAATGGTGTCACCAAATCATTTATGCCTTGCACATAACCCGAAGCTGGATGACGTATCGCCCAAATGAATAAAATACGTTCAAACATTTCCTGTACGAGCTTTTGTTGAAAGAGTGATATTTGCGGATTCATACGTGGCACATCGATATGTATCTAAAAAAAGAAAAATTTATATATTTCTTTTTTCAATCCCCAAAACAGTATTTACGTATTACAAACCTGTCTATAGGTGTCTTGCTGTGATTCATCCTGACTGTCAACTCGGAAATAATTATGTCGCAAATCCTGATATCCTTGTCGTTTGCTTTCGAGCACGGCATTTCGACGTTCATTTGCTGGTGGTAAATACTTGGAGAGTAGTCGCCAACTCACCGCGCGCATCTGTCAAGATAAAATTTATTTAAAAATCTTCCAGTTATTTCCCTTCTACAAGTTTCAATAACATATTTGTTTGCAAACCTTTTTTGGTACACCTGACCAGCTTATTTTCTTTAATGCCACTAAATCCAAGAGTGGCGATTCCAACAAAACATGAAATTTTTCAATTTTTGTTTCATATTCGGTTTCTTGGGAATTCGAACTGAACTTTTGCAGCTGTGGTCGCCCGGGGTATGCGTGGAAATTACGTACAACTTTAATTCTGTAATTTAAACATAAGATTAATCTATTCGAAAAAT